CCTCTTATTCTTCTTCGAGGGAGGGGGGACGAGCAGAAAAACAGAGTGACGTGTTACCCTCACATTTCTTCTCCGCTAATGGGGTTCTCTCTCTCTCTCTCTGTCTGTCCATCCTCTCCATGTCAGCTCTACGTCTTTCCATTTCTCCATCCCTCCTTCCTTTCCCTCTCTCTCTGCACCCCCCATCCCTCTTCCTCTCCTCCCCATCTTGCCTCCTCTTCCTCCATCTCTGTATTTCAACAGTATTTATCCTTTCCATCCCTCCTCTCCATCTCTAGTTACACTCTCCCTAACCTTTCCCTCTCCTCCCTCCATCATTTACCTCTTCCTCCTCACCCACTCTCCCTCCTCCTCTCTAGCCTCTCCCTTCTTTCCTCAGTCTTTGCATCAGCTTTATTTCTATTATATCCCTCTCTCATACTCCGTTTATTCCTCTTCTCCCTGTCCTACATCTCTTCCTCCCCCCTCTCTCAAACTCAACTCTCCTCCATTACGTTCTGCTCCTCCTCTCTCCCCCTCACCCCTTTTTACTTTGCACTCTCCTCATTCTGTCAATCAACTTTACTCGTTTCCATCCCTAAAGCTTTCCCCCAGCTCCTAATTTCATACTGCTCCAATTCAATTTATTCTCCCCCTCCTTCATCTCTTCCCTTTCTTTCTTACCTGATTACTCCCTCCCTCCTATCCCCTTTTCAACTTTACTCCTTATTTTACCTCCCTTCTCTCCATCTCTTGCCTTACTCCACTTACCTCCCCCCTCTCTCCTCACCCTCCATGTCAACTTTAATCCTTCCTTCCATCTTTCATCCCTCCCTTCTCTCCCTCTCTATCTGAACTCCTATTCTCCTCTCCAAGTCAACTTTACTCCTTGTTTCCATCACTTCTTTCTTCCCCTCTGCATCCATACCTCTCCCTCTCTCCCACCGTTTGTTAATGGTTATTCCGGCTGTGGGCAGGATTTATTTGTTTGGGGCCGTCTGGGAATCGTGTTCCCATTCCTAACGGGCCGACGTCAGGGTCTCCCAGAATCCATCATGTTTACTCTCACGAGTTGTGATTATGTAATGTTCCTGCTGTGAAGCAGAGACGTCTGTGACCTCACGCAGTCAACCAAAGACCGTCTTTCTTTGCAGGAGAAGGGAAAATGTGACTTTATGATTCAAACCAACTCTTCTTCTACGAAATGTCGCTCCGTTATCGTCTCCACGTCCACTCCTCTAACAGCTCTCTCAGCCGTCCACCTCCTTGACAGCTAAGAGGTCAAATGTCACTAAAAGCAGGGAAAGTGGATTCGACTTTTATCAAGTGAAGGAGACATTTTGGCACCAGTCAATCTCTGCCGTTCTTTCTCTCCAAAATCTACCAATCCGTCCATTTACACCCATCCATTTATCGTCTTAACGCATCGACTCCAGACACGAGACCTTCAAGAGAAAGAGTGCTTCTGACTGCTCTGACACCTGTTCACCATCACTGCAGAGTTCAGAGGTCACCAGCAGCGCACACACACACACAGACCACGCCGACACCTGTCAATCACGTCTGCATCTCTCCGTCCTTTCAAAGAATTCACTAAAAGCAGAGAAAGTGGGTATCTGTCATCGCTCAACTCCTTCCTCCTCTCTTGACACAATCTGCATCTTTGTTTCTCGTCGCTTACGTCTCTCTCTCTCTCTCTCTCTCCATCTTTAAGGGTCGGAAGGCCACTGAGGAGTTTCCTCATGGCCACGAAAGAAACAGGATGGATCATGGTGCTTTTATAGGTCAGAGGTTAAAGGATAACAAAAGGGCAAAAACAAGACAGTACAAGAAAAACAGAGCAGATAACTTTTCTACTTTAAATGCTGTATTTGATACTAATAAGACTTACGAGGTGTTACATTTGTTTGGCATCTTTGCTTTAAAAATGTCTTATCCACTATCGGTTAATCAGCCAACTGTTGCAGCACTTATTAATACAGATACACCGAATATCTCTTTAAATAACTCTTATTGT